TAGTGTGTGTGTGAGAGAGAGAGAGAGAGAGAGAGAGAGAGAGAGAGAGAGAGAGAGCTAGTGTGTGTGTGTGTGTGTGTGTGTGTGAGAGAGAGAGAGAGAGCGGTGAATATTTAGAAATCTGTGAAACCCGTCATACACCTTTCCCCTGCTCTTTGCATGTCATACTCTATCATGCCCTCCACATATTTCTTTCCTTCCCGTTGCCCCTACCTCCCCTGCCCCATACTCCTACTGAACTCCGCTTTCTATCCCTTACCCTCCACCCTCCCCTCCACTCCCTTTGTACTACTAACAAATACATGCGAATGAGCATCATTAAGAGTATAGACGATATGAAGATCATAAATGAAATGAACGGAAGTATGAAGATGAAGGATGGACACAAAGGCTGTATAAGCTGAAGATTTGAAGTGAAATGAACAGGAGTATGAAGCTATGAAGAGATGCACAGGAGCATGCCTTCCCTTTTACTCTGCCTCCTGAAATAACGTGCAAGTGGGTCGTGAAGGCACACGGGGATGTGGGCAGCTGACACACACGCACACAATCAACGTGGGCAGCCTTGTGCGTAAGAGGCACAGTAAAAGGGGAGCTGCAAGAACTGAAACGGTTTTCACCTTTCGGCAGTCACGGATGCCGGCCCTAGAGTTCGATCCCCAGACCTCACTTTGCCCATGTACAGTATCGAGTCGACCCCTGAGTGTTTGAACCCGTGATCTGTGTTTTGGTAGTTGTTGTCGTCTGTCGTCGGTCCTTGTAGCGGTAGGGGTTCGATCTGTAGGTCTGTCGAATAGGAGTCACAACTCTGTAGAGGTCGTGGCTGTACATGCTCTGAAAGGTCAAGGTTGTAGCTGCTACAATCCTGAAAGGTAACTTTGTCCGGGATGTATGTGGGTACAGTTCCATGGGCGATGACAGACATTCGTCGGAGTGGCTTCCTGGCTCAGCGGGTGGTGGGAGCCAACAGTCTGCAGGGTTTGACTTCTGGAGTGAGCTTTGGTCCGTGTTCGATGTGTGGACTTGGTCATCGGGTTTTTGCAGGCAAGTGTGTTTTGACATCCTGGTTGGTCATGTCCCGTCGTTTGGCCTGTAGTCAGGGTTGTCAACCCCCGGGCCCGGGGCCCCGGCGGGGGTCCCAGGGGTCAGGTGTCGGTACACCCGGCCCCGGAAAAAAAACAGCAAAAAAAAAAAATCAAAAAAAAAATCAAAAAAGTAAATAAAATACCGGGGGTGCGCACCGACGCTGCACATCCCCTGGCAATTTCTGGTTTTTCCAGAAATCAGGGGTCCTGCACCCCCCCCCCCGGGGTGGCTGCCACCTGTGGAGGGGGTCGGGTTTACGGGGGGCGGGGGTCGGCGGGGTCGGGCGTCGG